AAAGAAATCCCAAAAACAAATCCCCTTTTTTTCTATTTTGTTTTCTAACCAGGCCAAAATTATTAAAGTTAGCATAAAAAATTGGTGTTTGAGAATGGCCAAGATAATTCTGAAAATGAAAACCAGTGATGGAATTGAGGTATATCCATCCAACGGAATGCTCTTCGGCTAAAAAAATGAATGAAGCACTGATTACCTGCCATGACATGGATGAACCCTAAAGATACCATGCTGAGTGAAATCAGCCAAAAGGTCACATGTCACATATTACATGATTCCATTTATATGAACTATCCAGGCTAGGTAAATCCAGAGACAGAAGATGGGTTTGGTGGTTGCCAGAAGCTGGGGGAAGGAAGGAACGGAGAGTAACTGCTTAAAGGGCAAGGGCTTCCTTTGGGAAGATGAAAATGTGAAACTAGACAGAGATAGAGGTTGTGCAACATTGAAAATGTACTAAAGGCCATTGAATTGTTTACTTTAAAATGGCTACTGTTCTATTATGTGGATTTCCTTCTTTTTTTCTTTTCTCCGGTAGAAATGGGGTCTTGCTATGTTACCTAGGCTAGTCTTGAACTCCTGAGCTCAAGCAATTATTCCACCTCAACCTCCCAAAGCACTGGGGTCACAATCGTAGGCCACTGTGTCCAGCCCATGTGAATTTCAATTTAACAAAAAAAAGTAGTGGGAAGCAGGAGTTGCTTTACCAATACTAAAGTTTATTATAAATTTGTTTATTACTATATTGTTGCAGATCAGTGGAACCAAATAGAGTACAGAAATTGACCCAAACATATATGTGGAACCTAATCAGATATGTCAAAGATCACAATTTAATCAGAAAGGATGTTTTATTTAATAAATGATACTTGGATAATTGGCTATTCACCTAGAAAAAAACAACTAGACCATAATCTAAAATTATCCACAAAAATGAACTGTAGATGGATTAAATTTCTAAATGTAAAACTATAATATTAGAAAACTTTAGGAAAATGCTAGTTTTATTCCAAGGTAGAAGAGACTTTCTTAATCAATACAGTAAATTAAAAAGCTATAAAATAAAACATTGACCTATTTGAGTGCAAAAAACTTTAAAAATGTGTTTATGTTATGCCTTGTCTTTCAGAAGAAAACCTGACAGAATTCGGCCGGGTGCAGTGCAGTGGCTCATGCCTGTGATCCCAGCACTTTGGGAGGCTGAGGTGGGTGGATCACCTGAGGTCGGGAGTTCAAGACTAGGCTGACCAACATAGAGAAACCCCATCTCTACTAAAAGTACAAAATTAGCTGGGCATGGTGGTGCATGGGCGTGGTGGTGCGTGCCTGCAGTTCCAACTACTTGGGAGGCTGAGGCAGGAGAATCGCTTGGACCCGGGAGGTGGAGGTTACAGTGAACCGAAATTGAGCCACTGTACTCCAGCCTGGGCAACAAGAGCGAAACTCTGTCTCAAAAAGAAAAAGAAAAAGAAAACCTGACAGAATGGAAAAAAATATTTGTGACACATATTACAGATAAAGTTAAAATTATCAACCAGGCGCAGTGGCTCACGCCTGTAATCCCGGCACTTTGGGAGGCCGAGGCGGGCGGATCACGAAGTCAGGAGATCAAGACCAGTATATCCTGGCCAACATGGTGAAACCCCGTCTCTACTAAAATACAAAAAGTTAGCAGGGTATGGTGGCATGTGCCCATAGTCCCAGCTATTCAGGAGGCTGAGGCAGGGGAATCCTTTGAACCTGAGAGGCGGAGGTTGGAGTGAGCCGAGACTGTGCCACTGCACTCCAGTCTGGCAACGGAGCAAGACTCCATCTCAAAAAGAAAGGAAAAAAAAAAAAAAAAAAAGCCAGGCACAGTAGCTCATACCTATAATCCTAGCACTTTGGGAGGCTGAGGCAGGAGGATCACTTGAGGCCAGGAGCTCAAGACCAGCCTGGGCAATACCACAAGACCCCATCTCAAGAAGAAAAACAACTAGCCAGGTGCAGTGGTGTACACCTGTAGTCCTAGCTACTAGAGAGGCTGAAGCAGGAGGACAGCTTGAGCCCAGGAGTTTGAGGCAACAGTGAGCTATGATCATACCACTGCACCTCAGCCTGGGCAACAGAGCGAGACCTTACCTCTTTAAAAAAAAAAAAAAAAAATCATTATAACAAAAGCTACAGCAAATTGATACTGGAAGGCCAGAAGGAGAGTTGTGAGGGAAGGGAGGAAACAGACAAGTAACATTAACGCACAGAAGGGGAAATGCTATATTACTCATCATATGCTGTGTTTGTTTATTCAACACTTATTTCTCATTTACAATGTGCCAGACACTGGAACAGATGTTGGATGTACCATGGAAAATAAGACAGACTTAATACTTATCACCAGGAAGCTTAGCTTGGAAACAGAAACAGACATTTAGACAAAGAGTTATACAACTGAAAATAACTAAGATTAATGCTAGGAAGAAATTCAGGCTGACATGAGAACATATAATTTAAAGCCATATCTAATCTGGAGAGCCAGGAAAATCATTACTGATTAAGGATATTCAAATTGAGACAGGGGACAAAGAGAAGATGGCTGGAAAGGGGTGAATATTTCAGAATGTTTGATGGGGGAAGAATTTGCAATGCTGAAAAAAATAAAAAGAAGACTTATGCAAGAGAAAGCTAGAAAGGACCAGGACCAGCTTTGGGGAGACTTTGTATAACTTTGTTCTACAAGCAATGGGGAAGACATTCATTAGAGCGTAAACAAAAGAATAACATGATTTAACCATTTGTTTATTTCTTTTTTATGTTTGCATTTTTTAAAAGAAAATAATCATTCCAGATGTACTAGGGAACGGGACTAGAAAGGGAGCAATTGTAGATACGAGAAAGAAAGAGGTTATTTCTCAACACCTGAAGAGGTTATAATAGTAGGGTTCAGAACAGGTTGGTGATAGTAAGAAATGAAGAAAAGGACCCGGTTCAATGGCTCACACTTGTAGTCCCCAGCACGTCAGAGATTTAGGAGGTTGAGGCAGGAGGATGGTTTGAGCCCAAGGATAAGGAATATTGGAGAAAGCTAACAATGCAGTTTTGGGATGGCTGGTTGGTTAGTCGTGGGGGACACATAAGAAGGGAAGATAATAAATTCAGTTTTTGATATGTTAATGCTAAGATGCCGAAGCAATCGGGAAGAAACACCTGAGTAGTAAACTAGAACCATGGGGCTAGGACTTAGAAGATTCACCCTAGAAAGGTAAATGTAGGCATTGTCTACACAGAGACAGTAACTGAATCAAAGGAAATAGATGAGATTATCCATGGAAATTCAGTAGCATAAGTGGGGAACGGTCTAGGATTAAGTCCTAAGTAACTAGTATTTAAATTTAAAGGTACTACAGATTCTACAAAGATGACTATGAAGGATAGCTGGAGATATAAGAGGAAAAGTAGAATCGGATGGAAGAGATGACAAAAGTCAATGCTGTGGTGGTGGGGAGAAGGTTCAAAAAGTAGTGAGAGATCAACATTATTTGATATGTTGAAAAGTCAAGATGAGATTTGGAAGATATAAGGATTTTCATTAAAACGGGGGAGTCCTGAGGATGTGTAAATATTGATGGAAAGAAGCCAGTAGAAAAAAGGATAAAACCAGACAAAAGTAACTGCTAACCTCAGGTTCCTAAACCAGTGTTTTTTGGTGGGAGGGGAGAGGGAAAGGATCAGAGAAAAGGTCCAAAGCCCGAGTGGAAGAACCAGACAGGGTGACAGGAACCATTCGCAGTAAAACACGAAGGAAGAAAAAGATTCACATCTACATTTAAAATTAAAGTGTTTCTACATCTGATAAAGAAGTTAAAATATCAAATTGAATCAGAGAAAAAATTAAAAAACTAAAAAAAAAATCAAAATACTTCATACTGATGGCTTTTTTCCCCTCTGAAATGGGAAACAAGATTTTCTACTGAGAGTAAATGGGGAGAAAAGTCAGAAATTTAAGAAAAACCAAAACTGAAATAACCATTGCAAAGTAGGAAAAGGAGTGGACTAGAGAAATGTACCATGAATCCTATGTAGTGCTGAGGACCTGTGACCTTGACTTTAGAGAAGTATCAGCCTGTCTGATGCCTGACTCTCCTCCAGCACAAAAAACATTATGCTAACTGGAAGAAAACAGAAGAGTCAATGGACCAGAAACTCCAACAAGGTCAAGGAAGAACTGAACTGGGAGTAACGGAGACAGACCACAGACCACTAGAGAAACAAGAAAAAGGTTATGGCCAGAGTGAGATATTTCAAATAAAAATTTTACAAGTGGAACAGTTCTGGGTACAGTAAGGTCCAGGGTCTAAATGAGGTGGGAATAAGGAGCTGAGAAGGTATTAAACAATGAAAAAGTCAAGGGATCCACTTACCTGTCTGCCTCCATTAGTTTAATGAGTTGCTGAATAGGAAATGCAACTGTCATTTCCATATGCCTGATACATGCCTGCTATGTGGTCAATAAATATTTGATGCATAAATGAATGAACTGATACAACAATTTGAGTTTCAAATTTTTCCTTAACATAGAAAATCCTGCAGTAAGTACATTCATGAATATAATTTTTTTTTTTTTTTTTTTTTGAGACAGAGTCTCGCTTTGTCACCCAGGTTGGAGTGCAGTGCTGCAATTTTGGCTCATTGCAACCTCTGCCTCCTGGGTTCAAGCAATTCTCCTGCCTCAGCCTCCTGAGTAGCTGGGACTACAGGTGCCTGCCACCACACCTGGCTAATTTTTATATTTTTAGTAGAGACAGGGTTTCACCGTGTTGGCCAGGCTGATCTCAAACTCCTGACCTCAAGTAATCCGCCTGTCTCGGCCTCCCAAAGTGCTGGGATTACAGGCATGAGCTACCATGCCCAGCCTCATGAATATAACTTCTTAAAAATTATTTTAAATTATTTCTTTGGGAAATAAGCTCATTCTAGTAATAAGATTCTGAGTCAAAGGAAACTGTCCAGCATGTTTTAATCATAAATATAACAACAGTTCACTGCTATTTCATTATGACAGAAATACACAAAACCTCTTACTTTCAAAATGAACTATTCCATCAATCTGGTCAATAAATCCATTCATACGTCCTTCTGTTATCATTTGAGATGCTATCTTTTCCGCCTATTGGGGGAAAAAAAAAACTCTCTGAAACTTTATCATATCTTTTAGCTATTCACATATGATAAGAGAACTGAAAGCTTCTGGTTTAACTACCATCACTAAACTTTACATATATGTTAATCTGTCACTAGAAGAGTAAATCCTGTAAATCTGGCTATTTCCCAGTTCTTGCTGTGCATAACCCATTATTTTAAGTTAACTGGGATCTGTTTTTCTTGTGAGATTTTGGACAAGAATATAACTTTACCATTTTCTCTTCTGCTCAAAAGCAAACTATCAATTTTTCTTCTTACTGGGATCCACATCTCAAAAAAACCCAAACAAACTAGTTTTTCTTATTTTATTTCAATTTCCACAGTATTTGCTACCCCAGAAACTCTTTAAAAATTGAAAGGCAGATGGTGAAATTCCAATATAAATTGAAAGGGTTTAAAAGACAATTAAAAGAAAGCAAAAAGTCTGCTACCTAACTCCTGAAGACATACTTAATGTTACTGTGCATAAGCAAACTGGATTGTGACCTGGTCATTTATTAATTTTGACCATCTTCACAATCAATCCTATCAGTCCTGAATAGACTATGACTAGCATTTATTGTTAAAAATATATTCACCTCCAATAGTCTCAGCAAGAGATCATACCTTAAAGCCTCAAGAAGAAAGTCTCCTTTAATGGTAACTTAAACCTTGACTCCCAAATTGTTCTTCCTTTACTGTGTATTGAATGTATACAAGTAAAGGAATTGTTAGAAAATACTAATTAAAAGTTCATTGCCAGGCCAGGCACAATGGCTCATGCCTGTAATCCCAGCACTTTGGGAGGCCGAGGTAGGAGGATCACTTGGGACCAGGAGTTCAAGACTAGCCTGGGCAACACAGCAAGACCATGTTTCTTTTAAAAAAAAAAAAAAAAAAAGACTGGGCGTGGTGACTCACACTTGTAATCTCAGCACTTTGGGAGGCTGAGGCTGGTGGATCACAACGTCAGAAATCTGAGATCAGCCTGGCCAACACAGTGAAACCCCATCTCTACTAAAAATACAAAAATTAGCTAGGCGTGGTGGTGTAATCTCAGCTACTCAGGAGGCTTAGGTAAGAGAATTGCCTGAACCTGGGAGGCAGAGGTTGCAGTGAACCGAGATTACACCACTACACTCCAGCCTGGACAACAGAGCTAAGAGTCCGTCTTGGGGGAAAACAAACAAACAAAAACATTAGCCAGGCGTGGTGATGCATAATTGTAGTACCAGCTACTTGGGAGTCTGAGGCAGGAAGATTGCTTGAACCCACGAGTCTGAAGCAGCAGTAAGCTATGATCGTGCCACTGCACTCCAGCCTGGGTGACAGAGCAAGAGCCTGTCTCTAAAAATAAACAAAAAAACCCCCAAATAAACAGACAAAAAATTTCACTGCCAGAGAAAAAGGGATGTGACCCATAACTGCATGACTTTAAGGTTTACAAATTAGCTAAAAGTAAGGCTGATTGCTTAATTTTATTTAAAATCAAGAGAATATTTTGTAAATGATACCTGCAATACTCTCTAAATGTCATTGGTACTTGTTGGAATTTATATATAGTCAACCAAAACTTAAAACAAACAATAAAAGTACATTCCCTAGTAAGTCAGTCAATTTCTCAAGTTAAATCCAAGCATAGAAGCTACAACAGAATAGCCTGGAGCATTACCATATCATTCTCTCAAAAAGATGAAATATTTAAACTTTGAGTCAATCTAGGGCACAAAAAAAGTAAGGCATGTATCAAAATCTTAGTCAGAAGTCAAAAACCACTATAAAGTAGATTTAAACAGACACCAAACAAAGACATTCTCAGAAAATGGGTGTCATAACCTGAAACTCCTAAAAGATTTCTATTCTAGGTCACTTGATCACAAAACACAATTTAAAACACCAAAAACACTAAGAGAATTCCACTAAACACACTAGGCCTATTTTAACTTCTAAAGAATTTATTTACATTTACTTGTGGCTTTTAGGTGTAATTCTGTTGTTGTTTCCAACATTTATCTTGTTGGAAGATAACAAATGTTGTTTCCAACATGTATTTTCTTGTTGTTTCCAACATTTATTTTATTTTCTCATTATTTTAATAGTTTCACCTCTTAACTGTTTTTAAAATGTATTGGAATCAAGAAGATACCTTAGCTGCAGGGATCTCTAAAAGAGCTCCAAGTTCTTCAAAGGTAATATTATTATATAATTTGCTTGCAGACAACAAATTGTGTTCAATAACAGCTCTGTCCAAGATGCTAGAACCTTAAACATAAATAAGACAGTTACAAGTTTGAAACCAGTTTTATACTCTAAAAAGATGCATCATTTTTTCTGAAAATTTCCAGGCATGTAATAACTCTGATCAAATTTAATTTCTCTGATCAAAATTTTAAAAGTAGCCAATATATGATGTAGTTTCATTAATGTACAATTAGATAAAAATAACACTTAGCAAATGAATGATTGGCAAGTAATTATTAAGTAAATACATGTAATGCTTTGGATTTGGAATCTTGCTTCTTTAGGCTATCAAATTCATTAACTTTTTTTTTTTGAGACAGAATTTCATTCTGTTGCCCAGACTGGAGTGCAGTGGCACAATCTCTGCTCACTGCAACCTCTGTCTCCCAGGTTCAAGCAATTCTTATGCCTAAATCTCCTGAGTAGCTAGGACTACAGGTGTGCACCACCACACCTGGCTAATTTCTTGTATTTTTAGTAGGGACAAGGTTTCATCATGTTGGCCAGGCAAGTCTCACCTAGCCTCAAGTGATGCTCCCACCTGGGCCTCCCAATGTGCTGTGATTACAGGCATTAGCTATGGCGCCTGGCCCATTAACTTTTCTTTCTACAAGCATAAACTTTTACTAGCAAGCAGCAGCACAACAATCATGCAACCTGTTCTGCAAGCTTCATAAAGTGATCTCTATTCTTGTGGGCACTCGACGAGCATCAAACCAAGGCAAATGTGAGAAATATCCAGATCCAGACCCAGGACCAGGCTGAGGGATCAGGCATAGAATCCTCTTTTCAGTGAGGTCATACAGTATCTGATAATGTTCTGGACCCAAGGTCCTACTTTGAATGTTATTAGACCACTGGGCTCATCCCATGCTTACATATTTCTGCTGAACATTTAACTACTGTAATGAGTGCAGGGGACAAAATATACTTGGAGACTTCAAGGGAAGTATTCTGAGAACCCGTTTCTTACAGTGCCTCACCTTCTCCTTTTCCAGAATTCCACCCACGATCTGCTAGTTTTTCACTTAACTCCTATCTCCCAGTTTACCGTGCTGGTTCCTCCTTCTTTTTCTTCTCTCAAATATTAGAGGGCTTAATTTTGCACCTTCTTCTCTTTTTATCCTACCATCAAAATGCTGATAATGATCAGACACATATCTGTAATCTAAATGTCCCTTTTGAATTCAGACTTATACAGCCAACTACCTAAATATCCAATCCATTAATTTTATAAATATCTCAAATTTAATACGTCCAAAAAAGCAGGCAGGTGCAGTGGCTTACCCCTATAATCCCAGCACTTTCGGAAGCCAAGACGGGAGAACTACTTGAGCCCAGGAGTTCAAGACCAGCCTGGCCGGGTGCGGTGGCTCAAGCCTGTAATCCCAGCACTTAGGGAGGCCGAGGCGGGTGGATCACGAGGTCAGGAGATCGAGACTATCCTGGCTAACATGGTGAAACCCCGTCTCTACTAAAAACACAAAAAACTAGCCGGGCGTGGTGGCGGGCGCCTGTAGTCCCAGCTACTTGGGAGGCTGAGGCGGGAGAATGGCGTGAACCCGGGAGGCGGAGCTTGCAGTGAGCCGAGATCACGCCACTGCACTCCAGCCTGGGAGACACAGCGAGACTCCGTCTCAAAAAAAAAAAAAAAAAAAAAGACCAGCCTGGGCAACATGGAGACACCCTGCCTCTACAAAAAAATTTAAAAATTAGCAAGGTGTGGAGGCATATGCCTAAGCTTCTGGGGAGGTGGAGGTAGGTGGAAGGATCATTTGAGCCCAAGAGGTTGAGGCTGCAGTGAGCTATGGCATCATGCCAGCCCCAGCCTGGGCAAAAGAGTGAGACCCTGTCTCAAAAAGTAAAAAAAAAAAAAAGGACTGCTTAGCCAGGCACAGTGGCTCATGTCTAATCCCAGTGCTTTGGAAGGCTGAGGTGGGAGAACTGTTTGAGGCCAGGAGTTCAAGACTAGCCTGGGCAACATAGTGAGACCCTAACTCTACAAAAAATTAAAACATTAACCAGGCATGGTGGTGTGCACCTGCAGTCCCAGTTACTTTGTTCTAGGCTGCAGTGAGCCATGATTGCCCCAGTGCACTCTAACTTGGACAACAGAGCACAACTATAACTAACAAAAGAAAAAGAAAAACTTCTCTCCTCAGTCTGTTCTTCTCCCAGTCTATCCCATGTCAAAAAGTAGTACAGCAGGCAGAGGGGAGGCAAGAATAAGGAGTTATTGTTTAATAGGTACAGAGTTTTAGTTTGGGAAAATGTAAAAGTTCTGGAGATGGATGTCGGTGATGGTTGCACAACAATGTGAAAATACTTAATGCCACAGAACTGCACATGTTAAAATGGTGATTTTTATGTTATATATATTTTATCACAATTTTTTTTAACAAGGTCATACACTGTCACTGAAACTGGAGTGCCATGGGGCAATCACGGCTCACTGTAACCTTGACCTCCTGGGCTCAACCAATCCTCCCACCTCAGCCTCCCAAGTAGCTAGAACCACAGGCATGTACCACCATCCCTAGCTGTTTTTCTTTACATTTTGTAGAGATAAGGCCTCACTATGTTGCACAGGTTGGTCTGAAACTCCCAGGCTCAAGTGATCCTCCTGCCTTAGCCTCCCAAAGTGCTGGGATTACAGGCATGAGCCACCATGCCCAGCCATAATATATATATTTTTAAGCAATACAGCAGTATACCCAGTTAAAAGGACTGTATCGCTGGGCACTGTGGCTCACGCCTGTAATCTCATCACTTTGGGAGGCTGAGGCAGGCAAATCACCTGAGGTCGGGAGTTCGAGATCAGCCTGAGCAACATGGAGAAACTCCATCTCTACTAAAATTACAAAATTAGCCGGGTGTGTGGTGGCGCATGCCTATAATCCCAGCTACTTGGGAGGCCGAGGTAGGAGAATCACTAGAACCCGGGAGGCAGAGGTTGTGGTAAACCGAGATTGCGCCATTGCACTCCAGCCTGGGCAACAAGAGTAAAACTCTCTCTCAAAAAAAATAAAAAATAGGCCAGGCATGGTGGCTCACGCCTGTAATCCCAGCACTTTGGGAGGCCAAGGTGGGTGGATCATGAGGTCAGGAGATTGAGACCATCCTGGCTAACATGGTGAAACCCCGTCTCTACTAAAAATATGAAAAAATTAGCCGGGCATGGTGGCAGGTGCCTGTAGTCCCAGCTACTCAGGAGGCTGAGGCAGGAGAACGGTATGAATCCAGGAGGCGAAGCTTACAGTGAGCCAAGATTACGTCACTGGACCACTGCACTACTCTAGCCTGGGAGACAGAGCAAGACTCCATCTCAAAATAAAAATAAAAATAAAATAATTTTTTTAATTAATTTTAATTTATTTATTTATTTATTTATTATTTTTTTTTTTTTTGAGAACGGAGTCTCGCTCTGTCACCCAGGCTGGAGTGCACAGTGGCCGGATCTCAGCTCACTGCAAGCTCCGCCTCCCGGGTTCCACGCCATTCTCCTGCCTCAGCCTCCCGAGTAGCTGGGACTACAGGCGCCTGCCACCTCGCCCGGCAAAGTTTTTGTATTTTTAGTAGAGACGGGGTTTCACTGTGTTAGCCAGAATGGTCTCGATCTCCTGACCTCGTGATCCGCCCGTCATCGGCCTCCCAAAGTGCTGGGATTACAGGCTTGAGCCACCGCGCCCGGCCTTTAATTTAAAAAATAAAAATAATTCCTCTTTTTTTATGAGGAGGTGTTATATAGAATTATTATTAAAAGACAGCAAGATGCTTCTAATTTAACATGATGTTCACTAGTCTGTACCTAAACATTGACTACCATATACACATAAGCCATGATCATTACCATCAGCTGTAGTTGCTTTTTGGTGAGGCATCAGCATGGCGGCAAATTCTTGAAGCTGATTTCCTCTGATGATCCTATCTAGGTACATTTTCTCTAGGATCCCATAGGCAGCAAGTTGCTGGCACCTTTCATCCTTAAAAAGAGTAGCTAGCATCCGAGAACGCTGCTGTCCTAAGAGAAATAAATGAGCATCAAATTTCACAATGTTATTTTCACAATGTTTCTTTAGGAAAAAAAAAAATCTATCTTATGACCTCATTTTTGTCTACTAAATATACAGCCAGTACTCATTATTCATGGTAATCATGGTCTGCAGTCACTGATGACACTGAATTATCAAGTACTAAACTGCTGCTCCTATGGGAATAAAGGTTAGGTTCCTGTGAGCATCTGGTCACAACATTTTCATCAAGGAATTAATCTGTAACCTTGTTTTATGTGTGTTTCTGTTTAGAGACATCCTATTTAATATATATATATTGTTGATTCATTAACATCGAACTCACGGCCAACACTATAAATCACACCTAAATGAAGCTATCTAACACACGTATTTTCTCCATAGGGCACTTAAGACCACCCCCCAGAGAGCACTATGGCTGCGTGCCATTGTAAACAGCAAAATCACTGAAAACAGAACAAAAGTGTGAAAAACATGATCTTAAACAGACCATGAGAAGGATATTTGTGTACGGTATAAAAGTAAAAAAACAAGCAGGGAATGTACATGTTCAACCTCAGGTGGAAACATGCCAGGACATTCAAATGTTTTGCCACCCTGCACATGTCTGCAAATGACAGTGGAAGTGCTGCAAGTATTGACTTTGAGGTTATGAATAAATTTTAGCAAGGAGGATAATTCAGAAACACAGAATCCACAGATATAGAAGAGCAACTATATAGTCATACATGAAGAATTTCAGGCCAAAATGTTACAAGCGGCTGGAAGAACAGGTGATTTCTATTTTCCTTTTCTTATTTGTACTTCTACAATAAACATTCATTATTTCATTAATAAAAAATTTATGAAAGATGAAAAAATATTTATCTGATAGGGAGACTTAATATTCATAATTTCAATTTATATTTTCAAGGAACTTTAGTGACAACTGATAACATTAAAAAAATCAAACTCACGAAAATGATCCTATCAACAACCTTTTTCTTTTTAAATATATTTCTAGTTCTTTATACCAAAAGAGCCTAACCACAATGACACCCAGAAGCAATGAGCATATCTAATGTCCAAATCTTGGTAGCCCATTAAAAAGAACTAGGGATCCTTGAAAAATAGCTGATTTCAAGTCTGAGGCAGGCAAAATACAAGATAAATCCAAGTCACCTTTTTCTGCTAATTCGCAGGGAAGTATTCAAAGGTTAATGGGGCCATGTCAAAAAGACATAACTGGCCAGGCACAGTGGCTCATGCCTATAATCCCAGCACTTTGAGAGACCAAGATGGAGGGATTGCTTGAGGCCAGACTACCCTGGCCAACATTAGCAAGACCTCATCTCCATTAAAAAAAAAACAAAAGAAGGCATAACCTAGTCATGTTTGAGGAACAATTTGAACATCAAAAAGAGTAACAATTGTTAATTGATTGTCATACGCTGAATAAATAAAAAGCTGTGTCAAATATACAAGAATGTTCATAGCAGTACTATTCCTAGCAGCCAATAAGAAATTAGGATAAATGAATTGTGGTATAGTCATACAATGAAATACTATATAACAAGGAAAATGAAGAAAGTACAAATACACATAGCCATGGATAAACTTCATAAAATTGAGCAAAAGAAGAATGAATACACTATATGATTTCATTTATATAAAAAAAATAAGAAGGCTAATATATACTAGTGATTATTCTTGTAGGGTTAGGAGTTGGGGCTAGTGACTTGAAGAAAGCATAAAGAAGGCAGAGTGTTGGTAACATCTTGTTTCTTGTTCTGGATGCTTGTTACATGGAGGTGTTCAGCTTGTGAAAATTCACCAAGCTGTATACTTTTCATATGTGTACTTTTCCTGTGTGCATATCATACTAACAGAAAATAAGCAGAAAAAAAGTACAAAGTAAAAAGTTCAAAATAAAAGTAAAAAAAGGAAGAAAAAAGTTCATGCAGAAGAATAGAATGAGCAAATCACCATTTTGTAACATACAGTGTAATGAATGACCCAAGCAAGGATTATTACTATTATTATTTTTTTTTATTTTTTGAGACGGAGTTTCGCTCTTGTTGCCCTGGCTGGAGTGCAATGCCGCGATCTCGGCTCACTGCAACCTCCGCCTCCCGGGTTGAAGTGATCCTCCTGCCTCAGCCTCCCGGAGTAGCTGTGGAGTACAGGGCATGTACCACCAGCGCCGCAGCTAATGTTGTGATTTTAGTAGAAAGACGAGGTTTCGTCCCATGTGGTCAGGCTGGTCTCAGACGTGCACAACCGCAGGTCGATCCGCCCACCGCGGCCTCCCAAAGTGCTGTGGGATGTACAGGCGTGAGCCAGCCGCCCCCTGGCCCCAAGCAGGAGTCTTTTGTTTTTTTTTTTTTGTTTTTTTTGTTTTTTTTTTTTTGAGACGGAGTTTGCTGCTGTCCCCTGGCTGGAGGTGCATGGCCGCGATCTCTGGCTCACTGCAACCTCCGCCTCCCGGTTAAGTCGATCTCTCCGCCTCAGCCTCCCGAGTAGCTGGGATTACAGGCATGCCACCACGCCGCAGTTTTTTGTAATTTTTTAGTAGAACGAGGTTTCCACCGTGTTAGCCAGGTGGTCTCAAACTCACAACCTCAGGTGATCCGCCCCCTCGGCCTCCCAAGTGCTGGGATTACAGGCGTGAGCCACCGCCCCGGCCCCAAGCAGGGATTCTTAATGGAGCTAACTTATTATGTAAAAGGAGAAGTAGAAAACAGAAATTTTAATGTCATATAATGCAAAAACTTATTGATATGGTTTCAGATTCCACCATTGCAACTAACCTGTAGAAACTAACCATCTGTCAAGCATAGTATCAAAGAATATCCACAATTTACCTGAAAAATGAGATTAAAATGTGCTTGTCTTCAGCTACACATCTGTTTGAGGCTGAATTTTCTTCTATATACTTTAACTAAAAAAACCTATCAAACGGAGTGAATGCGGAAGTGCCTATAAGAATTGAGCTGTTTCGGTCAGGCGCGGTGGCTACACCTGTTACTCCCAGCACTTTGGGAGGCCAAAGCGGGCGGATCACAAGGTCAGGAGATCGAGACCATCCTGGCTAATATGGTGAAACCCAGTCTCTACTAAAAAATATAAAAAATTAGCCATGCGCCGGTGGCGGCAGCTGTAGTCCCAGCTACTTGGGAGGCTGAGGCAGGAGAATGGCATGAACCAGGAGGCTGAGCTTGCAGTGAGCCAAGGATTGCGCCACTGCACTCCAGCCTGGGCATCAGAGCCAGACTCTGTCTGGAAAAAAAAAAATTTTTTTAAATGCAAAACAATTCCATTTCCCAGTAACATTTTTTGCTTAGAAAAATATAATTGTTTTTCATAAAAGTATGTCATTTAGTGTTACATGTAAAGGTCTATTATTTGCTACTTTAAATAAATTAATAAATTCTCTTAAATTACTCATTTAATTTCTAATAATCAGTAGATAGAATCTACATAAACAAGAGCTTTTGGGTTCTCAATACTTTTCAGAGTGTAAAGGGGTCCTGACACCAAGAAATTTGAGAACCTAATAGTACTGAAAGAAAACATGGAGGGATTTAAAATGGACATAATTTCAGAGTAGGGAAGACTTTTCTAAGCAAGTCAACAAAAACTTAGGAAGCCATTAAAGAAAGATTAATAAATGTAATGTAAGTAAACATTAAAAGGTTCTGCATGGGAAAAATGTCATAAACAAACCAAAAAGATGACAAGTTAGGGAAAAATTTTAATTTTCCTTTATATCTAAAGAGCTTTCACAAGTCACCAAGAAAGGACAAACAACTCAAAAAGATGCCAATCAACATAAAGTATAATTCACTAATAAAGAAATACAGATTTTCAACAATGTTTTTAAACATACAAAAAATGCTCAAGAGCTTTTTAAATACAAATTAAAATTAAAGTGAGATATGGTTTTCATCTACCGGATCAGAAAAATAAAAGAATGTGGTAATATCTGTGTAAGAAATCAGGTGGCTCATAGATATTTTTGTTTGGAGTGTATATATACAGGGGCAATGTGTAACGGTCTATCAAAAATTCAAAAGTATTGTACCTTGTGATCCAGAAAAGTTAACCGGTATTACATAGACTATCATACATGTGCATAATCACTATAGTGTTGTGTGATGACTAAATGAATTATGATAAAGGCCAGACAACAGAAAATCAAAAAGAATGATTATATGTACTGACATGGTAAAGATCACAATGATGTATACAGTTACAATAAAAAGGCAAGTGCAAAGGTTGTATATGCACCATTTGTATTGAAAGAAATGTAAGAAAACCAGTAAAAGTTCTTTAAAAAAAGAAGCAGTACCATTTCATGTTACTGCCTTTTCAATAACAAAAAATAAAATAAATAAGTTACTAGTCTATTAAAGAATAAAATGGGATGTGGTGTGGTGGCTCACACCTGTAATCTCAGCACTTTGGGAAGCCAAGGCAGGTGATACATGAGCCAGGACGCTCAAGACCATGACTAGGCAACATGGAGAAAACCATCCTCTAGAAAAATACAAAAATATTAGCCAGCAATGTGGTGTTGCACCTGTGTATCCCAGCACTTGGGAGGCTGAGGGGAGGATCACTTGAGCCCAGGAGGTGGGCTGCAGTGAGTAGTGACTGCGCGCACTGCACTCCAGCTGGGGTGATAGAGTGATTTAAGAAAAGCTATGGTTTAGGAATTAGCATTTCCTCTTAACACTCATTCTACTTCATAAGTGATTTACATGCTATAATCAGGTAAAAAGACGAAAAATATTGTTACATGTATTGAAGAAAAGGATGTCAGGTCTAAAACTGAGGCTTGAAGGGTTAAAAAAAATCAAAAGCAGTATATTAATTATCACTTCATCAATCTACAGATTTAATTTTGTTTTCACTCTGCACAATTCTCACTTAATTAAGTTGATATCCACTTCTTTTAGTGAAATTTTAGAACTTTACATATCTCTTTTAACTATTCTTTTTTTTGTTGTGTAGACAGAAGTCTTGCTCTGTCACCCACGGTGAAGTGCAGGGGCCTGATCTCAGCTCACTGCAAGGCTCCACCTCCTGGATTCCAACACCATTCTCCTGCCTCAGTCTCCTGAGTAGCTGGGACTACAACGCGCCCGCCACCGTCGCCCGGCTAATTTTTTGTATTTTTAGTAGAGACGGGGTTTCACTGTGTTAGCCAGGCTGGTCTCAATCTCCTGACCTCGTGATCCGTTACAGGTGTGAGCCACCGCACCCAGCCCTCTTTTAACTATTCTTAACACATATGCATAATAGACTGATATGAGCATATTAAATTATTTTAACAAATCATTTTATTTCTGTTTTTGTTTAAACACTTAAACTACATTTACCATAATTGTATTACGAAGACATCCCTTTGAAGAATAGTTCCTTGCTAAATTTTCCAACAGTAACCAACCTAAAGTTATTAAGCAAAGATAACTGTTCATTTAAGTATAAATTATTACATGTTTACCTGCTGATGCTAAGATCGTACAGTGCAAAGCATGTTTTAAGGCCTCTAGTCTTTCACTTTCGTGGACTATTGTCTTGTAAGAGAGTTCATTGTACCTTTGTGCAGCTTCAATGAATTTTCTTCTATAATCAAGAACACGTGCATAGCATACCTACAGAAGGAAAATGTTTCAATTAGGCGACAAATTAAAAAGCGAGAGTTGAAAAAAAAAAAAAAAACAGAGAAACAATTTCTAATATTTAAGAGCATCTATCAGATGTTCTGGAATATCTTAGTATGTCACAATTCTCCAATACAAAATTAATTCCAAATCAACTTATCTGTTACCTTATAATGTATCTGTAATTGTTCATTGGTTGATTCATTCTGAAGCAATGATGCTCTATTTATGTAAGCCTCCGCCTGGACTGGATCATCATCCTCCAGATATAGCCTAGCAATCTTCAAGTAAGTCTCCAGTTTATAATCTACATTGTACTGTCTAGGATGTAACAGAAAAACACATAATGACTCAATATTTTGTCAAGAAAATTTTAGGAATAATAGAAGATATGTTGTTTTTTCCTCATATATATTCTGGTACCGTAAGGGAATCAAACTTTTTACTGCATTACACAAAAACTAAAAAGTTTTATTGAATTTTTATTATCATTAATCACATTATATCTTAGCTGCTTTTAATCCTCAATCTCACAAGCTAAAAGCTGAAGAACAACTGCTCAGTTTAGGGGTATATCATATATGACTAGTGGGACAACCTTCCTAGAAAATAATTGGGAAATATGCTCTCCAACCATCCTTTGAATCCTTTAAAATGCATATACCCTTAACCCACCATACATTTACCTTTAGAAAATAAATCCTAAGGCCAGGTGTGGTGGTTCATGCCTGTATTTCCAACACATTGGGAGGCCTAGGTGGGTGGATCACCTGACATCAGGAGTTCGAGACCACCCTGACCAACATGGTAAAACCCTGTCTCTACTAAAAATACAAAAAATTAGCCGGGCATGGTTGGCACACACTTGTAATCCCAGCTACTCGGGAGGCTGAGACAGGAGAATTGCTTGAACTCAGGAGGCAGAGGCTGCAGTGAGCCAAGATCATGACATTGCACTCCGGCCTGGGTGACAGAGTGAGACTTAGTCTCAAAAAAAAAGAAATCCTAAAAAGATAGCCAGATAGCCAGGGATGTGCATACATATGCATATAAAAGGATATTCATTTGTAAAATTATTTATAAATATCTATGCTAGGAAAAAAAATGGAAATCACCCATTATGATATTATTGGTGATCAAGTTGTGGTGCATAAAAATGGTAGAATACAAGGCTGGGCATGGTGGCCCACCTATAATCCCAGCACTTTGGGAGCCCGAGGCAGGGAGATCATGAGGTCAGGAGTTCAAGACAAGCCTGACCAACATGGTGAAACCCCGTCTCTACTAAAATACAAAAATTAGCTGGGCATGGTGGCACACATCTGCAGTCCCAGCTACTCGGGAGGCTGAGGCAGGAGAATAGCTTGAACCCGGGAGGCGGAGGTTGCAGTGAGCCGAGATCATGCCATTGCACTCCAGCCTGGGCAAGAGCGAGACTCCATCTCAAAAAAAAGAAAGGTAGAATACTGTATAATTATAATCTAGTCACTATGTATTTTTCCTAAGTGAAAAAACTGGATAAAACAGTATGTAAAACACTATTAAAATGTATTTCTATACACATATATCAAAATAGTAATAGCAATTATCTGTGGGTAGTGAGATTATAGGTGGTTTTCATTTTCTTCTTCATCTCAGTCGTCACATTTTATGCCAGGAATGTATAACTAAAGACCTCACATAATTCAAAACTCACATGAAACAAGATTAATCCTAACAAAAATTAATCCTATTTACCTGCAAGAGTGGTGCCACCATATGGCAAGAACACAGAGTTTATAATTCACTTGGCCCCAGATTTGAAAATAATTCTATACTTTATTGATTTGGGGGGGATGGAGAATGGGAGGAGAGATTTATGCAAATTTAATTTTTGCATATATTAATATTCTGTACTTTTTTCCATTCATAATTCAAATATACATTGCTTGCCACGTACAGCACTATATTCTTGAATTTTCCAATTTTTTGCCAAGTGTAACTATTATGTCAATTACTTTTTTTTTTTTTTTTTTGAAATGGAGTCTCGCTTTGTTCCCCAGGCTGGAGTGCAGTGGCGCCATCTCAGCTCACTGCAAGCTCTGCCTCCCGGGATCATACCATTCTCCTGCCTCAGCCTCCTGAGTAGCTGGGACTACAGGCACCCGACACCGCGCCCAGAATTTTTTTTGTATTTTTAGTAGAGACGAGGTTTAACCATGGTCTCGATCTCCTGACCTTGTGATCCGCCCGCCTCGGCCTCCCAAAGTGCTGGGATTACAGGCGTGAGCCACCACACCCGGCCATCAATTACTTTAATAATCAGAATGAATCATTTTTTGAAAGAAAAAGTTCCCATTTATCCAAAGTCTACATTTAGTCACTTTAACTTGTTTAGAAAACCAATGACATTTTTATCTCTTTGGTTTACTCACAGATAAGGATAATGCTACAGTACTACTAAAATAACAATTATGACCACTGTAAAAAACAATATCTAATTTTATATTTATTTCAGCTACCACTGAAAAGAAATCAATTGCCCTGTGCTAGGGAGAGAATACTAGGTAAAGAATAAGACAAAAGCAATTAAGAAAGCCCAGCTTTTTCAAACTACCAAATTATCAAGGGACCTTGAAATGCAAAATTCAACATCTACATATGAAGGCTTTTTTACAAACTGGCTGCTTTTTCAAGGAGCATCATTGCCTAGTAACTTCATAAATAATGCACAAAAGGCAAGATTTCTGAAGCAGTGTCTGCCTCACTATTGCAAATATTAATGAAGAACAAAAAAAGAATTCCTCCTTCACCTGGTAAAGGAGTAGAAAGGCAGATGAAGATATTTTTAAGTCCTTCACAGTTGGTACCGTTTTATACTTGCCAACTTGAAGAGGAAGTGTTTTCAATACAATAACCAATAGTCTCACATCTTTCATCCTCATACAATATACTTAGGAGAAATGTTTCATAAAGAAGTATAAATTTTTAAAAATATATACATCAAGAGGTAAGACTGGTTGAATAAGAGTTATAAACCATCTTTTTTTTTTTTTTTTTTTTTTGAGACAGAGTCTCACTCTTGTCACCCAGGCTGGAGTGCAGTGACGAGATGTCGGCTCACTGCAACCTCCGCCTCCTGGGTTCAAGCGATTCTTGTGCTTCAGCCTCCCTAGTAGCTGGGATTACAGGCACACACCACCACACTTGGCTAATTTTTGTATTTTTAGTAGAAACAAGGTTTCATCATGTTGGCCAGGCTGGTCTCAAGCTCCTGACCTCAGGTGATCTGCCCATCTTGGCTTCCCAAAGTGCTGGGATTACAGGCATGAGCTACCACGCCCTGCCATCTTAATTTTTTAAAAACTGTTTTTCTACCTCATTTTCTCTAGTATCTCAAACCCAACAATCCTTGCACCCACTGTGCCCTCCAAACCACTTATCCCTTACATGTCACTGCCTTTCCCCATAAAGGCCTCACTTTCCTCTTTACCTAGCCTAACTCCTATGGTCACTCACTCATTGTAATCACTTGTAATCACTGAACTGCATAGGCACTCATCTCCCTGGTCCCTCTCTTGCTGTCATACTTGTTGGGCAAAAATCGTAACTGTGGTTAAACCTAATTGTTTGCTCACTCCATTCCTGCACTCATATAGCTGAAATGTGATGGGAAAAAGCAGCAAATCAAATTTTTTTTTGAGATGGGGTCTCAGTATGTTGCCCAGTCTGGGCTCAAATTTCTGGGCTCAAGGGATCCTCCCACCTCTGCCAGGACCGAGGCTTGTAGCTGGGAGTATAAGCACAAAGCCACTGTGCCCAGCATGACTGATCTAATTTTAATCATTATGACCTTTAACAAGTCCTTAATGTTGCCAAGTTTACATGCTGAGTCCATTCATTGTCCCACTCTCCTAAGGGGATTACTTCTCACACTATTGTCTCTCTTCAACCTCACACTCCACCCCCATCCACCCTTCCAGCTGATGTCTCTGATTTCAACTTCCTTAAGAATATTGAAGCAAGGCTGGGCACGGTGGCTCACACCTGTAATCCCAGCACTTTGGGAGCCCAAGGCAGGTGGATTGCTTGAGCCCCAGAGTTTCAGACCAGCCTGGGCAACACGGTGAAACTCCGTCTCTATTAAAACTACAAAAATTAGCCAGGCGTAGTGGCGTGCACCTGTAATCCCAACTACTTGGGAGGTTAGGAGATGGACGTTGCAATGAGCTGAGATCACGCCACTGCACTACAGAGCCAGACCCTCTCTCAAAACCAAAAGCCAACAAAAAAAGAATACTGAAGCAACGCAATGAAAGAGTACTTGTGGAAATTCCACGACTATTTCACTAATATGTCTACAGACATTTTTATTGTCACAACTAGGAACAGCAGTACTATTGGCATCCAGCAAGCAGAGGACTGGTGCTGCTAAAACATCCTGCAATACACAGGACAGCCCCCACAACAAAGTATCTAGCCGAAAATGACAGTAGTGCTGAGGCTGAGAAACTCTGCCACAGATGAACTACCCATATTCCTATCTAAAGCCTATCCCTCTGCTAGATTCCTTCCTCTCGTCTACTCCTGCAAGAATCCTCTCCCCAATTCCCCTATATCAAATTTTTGCTTTCTACTGGATCATAAAAGAAAAAGTAATCCCTTAGCCTAACAACTGCTGTCATCTTCTACCCTGTTTTTTTGCTACCTTTCTTGAAAACTCCCCCACAGGGTGGCCCATACTCACTATCTCTAAATATTCTCTTCCCATTCTCTCTTAAACCAGGCAGTCAGGCTCTCGCTATCATTTCACAAAAATCAGCTCATTAAGGTTCAGTGGTTTCTACACTATTAATGCCAACAGTTAACCTGTACTCCTTATCTTACTTGACCTATCAATGCCATAGCTCATCACCTGCCCCTTGACACATTTTCCTCATTTGGCTTCCAGGACACCACCCTCCACAGTATTCTGATTTCCTTCTTACCTCAATGGATAATCTTTCTCATTTGCTACATCTTCCCCCAGGCCCTGACCTCTTAACATAGAGGTGCTCCAGGCCTCAGTACTCAGTCCTTTGGTCTATCTACATTCCCTCCTTTGGCCATCTCATCCAATCTAATGGCTTTAAATTCCATCTATATGTCAATGACTCCCAAATATGTATATCTAGCCCAGATACCTCTTCTAATCTCCAGACTAATATATTCAACTCCTTACTACATATTTCTACTTGGATATTATATGCCCAAAATGAAACTCTCAATATTCCCTACAAGCCTGTTCTTCCCTACTCCAACTTTCCAATTGCTCAGGCCAAAAATCAGGACTTATCTTGACTTTTTGCACACTCTACATACAAGCCATTAGGAAATCCTTACTCTACCTTAAAAAACATATCTAGAATACTTCTCACATCTATCTTATCTGTGGTACTGTATAAGCCTTTTTAAAAAAAGACAGGGTCTTGCTTTGTGCCCCAGGTGGGAGTACAGCGGTGCCATCATGGCCCACTGCAGCCTCAAATTACTGGGTTCACACAATCCTCTCGCCTCAGCTTCCCAAGTACCTGGGAGTATAGATGCATATCACCAGGCCCAGCTAATTTTTAAAAAAAATTTTTTTTGTAGGGATGGGGGCAGTCTCACTATGTTGTCCAAGTCGGTCTCAAACTCCTGGGCTCAAGCAATCCTCCCGCCTCAGCCTCCCAAGTAGCTAGGACTATAGGCATGTGCCACCATGCCCAGCTTTTTCTTTTTTTTTTTCTTTTTTTGGTGGAGATGGGGTCTAGCTATGCTGCCCAAGCCGGTCTTGAACTCCTGGGCTTAAGCAATCTTCTCCCACCTCAGCCTCCCAAAGTGCTTGGACTATAGGCATGAGCCACTGTACCTGGTCTCATAAGCCTCTTAACTAATATCCCTACTTCTATCACTGCTTGCCTACAGTTTATTCTCAACCCAGTAGTGAGACTAACTATTTAAAACAGAAGTCAGATCATTTCACTGTTCTGTTGACAATTCTCCAATGGTTCCCCCTTATTTCACTTAGTGAAAAGTCAAATTCCTTATAATGGCTTATAAAACTCCACAAAACCTGGTCCCCAGTACTCTCTGCTCTCATCCCTCATCTCTTGCCCCTTTGCTCACTCTACTCTATCCACACTGGCCTCCTTGCTCTTATTAAGAAAACACTTCAAGCTTGCTCCCATCTTAGGGCCTTTGCACTAGCCCTCCCCTCTAAGAGTATCTAGTGATGATATTCGGCCAGGTGCAGTGGCTCAAACACCTGTAATCCCAGCACTTAGAGAGGCTGAGGTAGGCGGATCACTTGAGGTCAGGAGTTTGAGACGAGCCTGGTTAACGTGGTGAAACCCCATCTCTAGTAAAAATACAAAAATTAGCCACATGTGGTGGTGCGTGCCTGTAATCCCAGCTACTTGGAAGGCTGAGGCAGGAGAATCGCTTGAACCAAGGAGGCAGAGGTTGCAGTGAGCCAAGATCATGCCATTGCACTCCAGCCTGGGCAACATAGCAAGACTCCGTCTCAAAAAAAAAAAAAAAAAGTATCTGGCAATATTCTTTCCTCAGATCACTCATAGCTACTCCCTTACCTCCTTCAAGTCTTTGATAAAGTGACATCAGGGCCACCCTACTACCCCAATCACCCTATTTAAATATACATACAACCTGTCCCTGCTTTGCCCCCTTACTTTTCTTCACAGCACTTATCACCTTCTAACACACTACAAATTTTTGTATTTGTTTCCTGTACTAGAATGTAAGAAAAAATATAAGTGAGCGATTATATACATCCTATATATAGTCATCCAATATCCACTATTTACTATACTTTTGTCCTGTTTCCAAAGGAATTCCCACCAACACTTGGGCTGCATTTCTCCAATCTTCTTCTTTCTCATATATAGATGCAAGATGCTGTCTTATGGAAGCAACCTGGAATAACAAGTATACACGTCAAATCATTTCAACTGACATTAGTAACTAATTAAAATAAGTAGGAAAATTATTCTAAAGTGGCAACTCAACATACTAAGCTGCCAAATAAATAGTAAAAGTTTATCGAGACCACCCAAGTTTTCCTATGAATTTTGCATTTACAGAATATCAAAGTAGTGAACTGAAGCAACACATTTCTGCAATGTGGATTATGGCAAAATACTGTAGTTTAAATGTTAAATTTAGCTTGTATGCTCCTGCATACACGATGCTGGAGTTTTCCTGTTTTCAGCTGAAATACCACTTTTACTGATTTTAAAAAATTGTCCAGAGAGCAATATTTGGTTCAGAAAATCAAGTTTTACTTTATAAGCAAATGTCAGTTAGAGTTGTAACATCCTAATATTTACTTGATTTTGCATCATAAAATGCTGTTTGGCACAGAGTTTTGTCAAAAATGAAACTGGATGATTATCTCCTTTAAGGATTTAATAATATCAGATTCTCAAAATAACTGCTCAAGTTTAAAAACCACTGCTCTAGATTTTTACCTGCTCCTCAAATGAAATGACTCTAGGCTGGATCTTTTCCAAGGTGAAGTGATAGATTTCTTTGGCTGTGCTATCAGGCAAGTTAGGGAGATGTGTGCAAAAATCAGTCAGCAACTGCCGCGAGATCACAAGACTGACATTCTCATTTACCACTTGTTAAAAAAAAAAGATAAGAAAACATGAGACACTGATAAAGTGTCATTAAACAATCAACCTTTACTTAAAATTAATACTAACAACAATCTATATTAGTGCAGCATTCAATGCATTATTCAAGGATTTCCATACCCCTATCATTTTATATTACATCATGAGTTTTCCTTATGCTGAATTACTTGATTACACAATGACTACACAAAAACAGTGAAAATAGGCCGGGTGCAGTGGCTCACGCCTATAATCCCAGCACTTTGGGAGGCCGAGGCGGGAGGATCATGACGTCAGGAGTTCGAGACCAGCCCGACCACCATGGTGAAACCCTGTCTCTACTAAAGATACAAAAAAAAATTAGTCAGGCGTGGTGGCGGGCGCCTGTAGTCCCAGCTACTCAGGAGGCTAAAGCAGGAGAATCGCTTGAACCTGGGAGGCAGCGGTTGCAGTGAGCCGAGATTGCGGCACCATAGTCCAGCCTGGGCGACAGAGCTAGACTCTGTCTCAAAATAAATAAATTATTTAATTAATTAAAAAATTTTAAAAACCAGCAAAAATAACGTAACTTTTCTAAGAAACATAAATAATTGAAAAAAAATTTTTAAAGCTGATAATTTTATCTTATTTTTCTACAAAGTGAAGGCACAAAAACACCTATATTTTTATTTATGTGCTTATATCACACCTTGTTCCAAAAAGGAGTTAAAAAAAAACAGTAAAATAATTTTCATGATATTTAAATAAAGCAAGTGCTACCAGTACAGTTATTGCCACTTATACTTTCCCAATAAAAACAATAAATAAGAACTTCAGTGAGCACTAGATGTACTGGCAATATTTATAAACATTTACGAGGTATTATTTTATGTGATTAAGCTCTGGAGCCACACTGCTTCTACCACTACTGATTATACGGCTTCAGACAAGAAACTTAACTTGTCTGTGCTTCTGTTTCCTTATCTGTAACACCTATTTCATAAGGTTATTATGAAGCTTAAATGCAATAATATACACAAAGTACTTTAAACAATAACTAGTAGATAGCACTGAACAAATGTTACTATTGTAACTATTACTATCATTTTAAATGCATCATCCTTCTGAACCATTGCTTATTCAAGTCTTAAAGCAGCAATTACTAGGAAAATAAGTGATTCAAAAACTGTTCAGTTGATATAAATGATTTTAACAGTAGACTGCTTTTCTTGGTGGTTTACTGGATTGAAAGCTTATACAAAGATCAAAGTATGTATGTATGTATGTATGTATGTATATGTTTTTTCATTGTTTTTTTGAGACCGTCTTACTGCTGCCCAGGCTGGAGTACAGTGATGCAACCTCAGCTCACTTCAGTCTCGACCACTGGGGCTCAGGCAGTCTTCCCACCTCAGCCTTCCAAGTAGCTGGGACTACAGGCATGTACCACCATGCCAGGCTAACTTTTGCATTTTTTTGTAGAGACGAGATTTCTCCACATTGTCCAGGCTGGTTTTGAACTCCTGAGCTCAAGTGATCTCTTGGCTGGGTGCCATGACTCACACCTGTAATCTCAAAAAAAAGTGCTGGGATTACAGGCATGAGCCACAGTGCCCAGCCAAGATCGAAGTTTATAAAAAGCACTATTCTTCTGCTACTATAGTGCAATGTTCTCAATAAACCACTCCTAACAGTTTTTTCAAAACCATTGCTGGTTTATCTCACACTGGAAGCCATGATTTTTTAAGTCCGTAACCTTTTAAGTTTTAAGGCAGTAACTTTTTAAGGCAGTTGTAATTAATTAGCTTATCACATATTAATTGGAATTCATTATTGGGTAATACTGGATGTGACTGAGAAAACAGTTTCATTACAAGTGTCATTAGGCATTTAAGTTACCATACAAGCTGGTATTACTCAGGGAAATACAAGCAAGTAAGAGTAGTGTATCAGAAAACCTTATTTCTGATCTGGGCTCTGCCAGCTAAATTTCCTTGAAAAAAGTTACTTAATCCTGAGACTTGTCTTACAATATATTATACAGGGATACCTGTACCTATATGGTCTAGTCAAAGAGTTATTAAAAGGAGCCTATGTGACAGGTAATGAGTGTGAAAACACACTGTAAAGCACTATGAGATATCATTAATGATGTGAACTCACTATAAAATTCCAGCCTGAATTTTGAGTAATTTTCAAGATCACTGGATATGTTTGAAGTCAGGTAATGTGGAAAAGTTTCTGGAAGAATGAAAATTTCTAGTTCTCAATTCAACAAACATAAACATTAATAACAGCTAATTCTTACATAGCATTTATTATATGCCAGGTCCTATTCTAAGCACTTTACTAAGTATATTAACTCATTTAATGTCCCAATAATTCTACAGAGTAGAATTTTACTGTACTACAGTAATGTACCACAGAGTACATTTTAAAGAGGAAAAGGAGGCACAGAGAGGTTAAATAATTGACCCAAGATTACACAGCTTATAAAATAGCGTACCAGAATTTGAACCCAAACTATTCTCTTCACTATTATGCTGTATTGTCCCTCATCAGCTATTATAATAACAATAACCATAAAAAACTTTAATTGGGATTGTAATTTTGAAGAAAATTCACTGAAAATTAATCGAGTTGTAAACAGTTTAAATTCTAAAATCAATCTCAATGCATATTTAATATTGATAATTTGATATAAAACAAGGCTTGAGAAAACTTTAAAGTCCTAGCTCAGTAACACAAGGCAAGCATGAAACTTCCATTTCACTTACTTGCTTCCACAAAAGCTTTCAAAGCTTCTAGTTGTTCTGCTCCAGATAACTGAATGGCTTTTTCCAGGATCTGACGATACCTACAACAATACCAAATGAGTATAATGTTCTGAGGGTACATATTTTTTAATGCAAACTTTGATGTGTATTTATTCATTTCTACTTACCCTGGTTTCTTTCATAGTACTATAGTTTGTGGTTTTCTTTATAGTATATCCCAGATTTTTTTAAAAAAAGTTTCTAGTCTGGCCGGGCGCGGTGGCTCAAGCCTGTAATCCCAGCACTTTGGGAGGCCGAGACGGGCGGATCACGAGGTCAGGAGATCGAGACCATCCTGGCTGACACGGTGAAACCCCGTCTCTACTAAAAAATATGAAAACTTAGCCGGGCGAGGTGGCGGGCGCCTGTAGTCCCAGCTACTCGGGAGGCTGAGGCAGGAGAATGGCGTAAACCCGGGAGGTGGAGCTTGCAGTGAGCTGAGATCCGGCCACTGCACTCCAGCCTGGGCGACAGAGCGAGACTCCGTCTCAAAAAAAAAAAAAAAAGTTTCTAGTCTATCACAAGAAATATTAAATCTGTAATTATATAAGGTGCCACTTCATCTAGTTTTCAGTATAGTATACCAGAATTTTTTAAGTTTTCAAGTTCATCACAAGAAAGAGTGAATCTATAATTCTGTTACAGAATCTAAGGTGTCCCTTTTCCTTGAAGGTTTTATTTTTGAATTTAAACTACAAAGTCAATTTCTTTTCAAATGCCTTGAAAGATAAGCTATATTTCCTCCAACTGTGTAATACACAGACACACAAAAACATTATTTGAGGTGACGCGGAATCTTTTCCTCTTACAGACCTAATGTATGTAGGCTCACCAACAATAGGATAATGTTGACCAGGCAATGAAACCAAACATTAGAGACTGAATGTCTTAGTCTGTACAAAATAAACTTCACCAAGTCAAATGCACTGATAGAATACCATTTACGCTGTCAGACACGACCTATTTATTCTTTATTTGCATTCAGATCTAATAACTATTCTACCTAATATCTGTGACCACACAAGCTCCACGAGGACAGGCCTTTTTGTGTTTTGTTCTCTGCTACGTAGACAATTATCTCAAACAATTCCTGGCATATCATAAGCACTCAAATATTCAACAGTATTAGTAATGTTTTATTTCTTAATGAGGGGTTAGTATATGAGTGTTATACTATTCTTTTGTTGTTTCGTTGCTGTTGTTTTTGAAGACGGAGTCTCGCTCTGTTACCCAGGCTGGAGTGCAGTGGCACGATCTAGGCTCACTGCAACCTCCGCCTCCCAGGTTCAAGCAATTCTCCTGCCTCAGCCTCCGGAGTAGCGAGGACTACAGGTACGCACCACCACGTGTGGCTAATTTTTGCATTTTTAGTGGACATGGGATTTCCCCATGTTGGCCAGGCTGGTCTCGAACTCCTGACCTTAGGTGATCCGCCCACCTCGGGCTCCCACAGTGCTGGGATTACAGGCGTGAGCCACCACACCCAGCCAATTGTACTATTTTTTAAAAGCAGTAAATACATTTTACAAACCTAATAGCATTGCAATCATTCGGAAAGTCATCCAGAATAGTTACGAAATAAATATATAAAAATAGAGCCTGAACTCATTCAGATTTATGACTTTCATTTTGTAGGGCACACCCTCAAGCTATCACTCAGCATTACTGACTCAACTCATACAAAATTCTCACAACCTTGGTTACCTGATTTCTCAAAACCACAATGAATCAAAGTGACTTTAAGAAAGCAGATGGGCCGGGCGCGGTGGCTCAAGCCTGTAATCCCAGCACTTTGGGAGGCTGAGACGGGCGGATCACGAGGTCAGGAGATCGAGACCATCCTGGCTAACACGGTGAAACCCCGTCTCTATTAAGAAATACAAAAAACTAGCGGCGGGCGAGTGGCGGGCGCCTGTCAGTCCCAGGCTACTCGGGAGGGCTGAGGCAGGAGGATTGGCGGTGAACCGGGAGGCGGACTGCAGCGTGAGCCTTGAGATCCGGCACTGCCACTCCGCCTGGTGGTGGACCAGAGCCAGGACTTCCGTCTTCAAAAAAAAAAAAAAAAAAAAAAGAAAGCAGATAAACGATAGAAAAGATAGCAAATTCCAGAAGAAGAAATAAATTATTCTAAGAAAGCAAGGAAATACTAAGTTTTTAAAAAATTATATTTTCAATGTTGCTAAGTTTGAGGGTCCTTAAAAGATAAATTACTTTATGGCCCTGGGCATGCTTTCAGATAAGTCATACATTCAATGGTTTGTTCTCTTTTATTTTTTTCATATTTAATTAAATCAAGGGTTATGGCTAAGATCTTTTACATTTATATCCTCACAGATTATTTTATACTAACAATATTAGATTCAAAGATAATAGTGTCTCACTTATATAAATTTGCTAATTAACCTAAGTTGTTTTGTGGTTGTTATGGTTTTTGTTTGTTTGTTTGTTTTGAGACAGGGTCTCACTCAGTCTCCCAGGCTAGAGTGCAGTGGCATGATCATAGCTCACTGTAACCTCCAATTCCTGGGCTCAAACAATCCTCCTGCCTCTGCCTCCTGAGTAGCTAGGACTACAGGCATGTGCCACCACTCCTGGTTAACTGTTCTTTTCTTTTTGTAGAGATGGGGTCTCACTACATTGCCCAAACTGGTCTCCAACTTCTGGACTCAAGCAATCCTCCCAACTCGGCCTCCCCAAGTGCTAGGATTACAGGCTTGAGCCACTGTGCCCAGCCTAACCTAAGTTTTAACACATAGTTTCATAATCAATCAACTAATCTGTATTGGGAATAGGAAGAAAAAATGAAAACAAACCAACCTAAAAAGTGATCAAAGTTTTACACTCATCAAACTATATAACTTATAGAGGCCTTAGAAATTGCCTACATAAATTCCCAGTTTTATAGATTAATAAATTGAGGGCCAGTCGCAGTGGCTCATGCCTGTAATCCTAGCACTTTGGGAGTCCAAGGCAGGTAAATCACTTGAGTCCAGGAGTTCAAGACCAGCCTGGGCAATGTGGTGAAACCCCATCTCTACAAAAAAAAAAAAAATACAAAAATTGGCCGGGCGTGGTGGCTCATGCCAGTAATCCCAGTACTTTGGGAGGCCAAGGCAGGTAAATCACTTGAGTCCAGGAGTTCAAGACCAGCCTGGGCAATGTGGTGAAACCCCATCTCTACAAAAAAGAAAAAAAAAAAAAATACAAAAATTGGCTGGGCGTGGTGGCTCATGCCTGTAATCCCAGTACTTTGGGAGGCCAAGGGAGGCAGATGGCTTGAACTCAGGAGTTTGAGACTAGCCTGAGCAACATAGTAAAACCTCATCTCTACCAAAAATACAAAAAATTAGCCAGGCATAGTGGCACACACCTGTGGTGCCAGCTACTTGGGAGGCTGAGGTGGGAGGATCGATCGCCTGAGCCCAGAAGGTGGAGGTTGCAGTGAGCTGAGATCTTCCCACTGCAACTCCAACCTGGGCAATAGATTGATATCTCATCTCAAAAATAAAAATTTAAAAAATAAAAAATAATAATACAAAAATTAGCCAGGTGTGGTGGCATGTGCCTGGACAAAGCAAGACCCTATCTCAAAAAAAAAAAAAAGTGAGGTACAGCACTGTGGCTGCATGCTCCCTTGCTTCTCTAATATGTAAATTCCAGTATCTAAGAACAGAGATTACTTTTGCACAATAAAAACATAAAATGACTAACAAACCTGTTTTAACCTAGGAACTTAAACAGAAATTTAATATTGCCATATAAAATCATCCCAAAGTGCTAATTGAGTCCTTAGGCATTTTAAGATGCTATATGAGATTCTGCGTATGATACTGAAAAGTTTTTAAATGACCTTAGTCTTTGAAGATCTTATGGCTGAGAAGACAAAGGGGAAGATTAAAAATAAAAAGTTAGGCCGGGCGCGGTGGCTCACGCCTGTAATCCCAGCACTTCGGGAGGCCGAGGCGGGTGGATCACGAGGTCAGGAGATTAAGACCATCCTGGCTACCACAGTGAAACCCCATCTCTACTAAAAATACAAAAAATTAGCCAGGCATGGTGGCAGGCGCCTATAGTCCCACCTACCCAGGAGGCTGAGGCAGGAGAATGGTGTGAACCTGGGATGTGGAGCTTGTAGCGAGCGGAGATCTCGCCTCACACTCCAGCCTGGGTGACAGAGCGAGACTCCGTCTCAAAAAAAGAAAAAATAAATAAAAATGAAAAATAAAATAAAAAGTTAATACGTTAAGTGTTAAATTACAATATGGCCAGGTGCGGTGGCTCACACCTCTAATCCCAGCACTTTGGGAGGCTGAGGTGGGCAGCAGATCACTTGAGGTCAGGAGTTCGAGACCAGCCTGGCCAACATGGTGAAACTCCATCTCTACTAAAAATACAAAAATTAGCCAGGTGTGGTGGCATGTGTCTGTAATCAGCTACTTGGGAGGCTGAGGCATGAGAATCGCTTGAACCTGGGAGGCAGAGGTTGCAGTGAGCTGAGATCCCACTGCTGCACTTCAGCCTGGGAGACAGAGCAAAATTCTGTCTCAAAAAAAAAAAAAAATGTATGGAGGAAAATAAGTGTTATTACTAAGGCATTGAACATCTCTCATATCCATTTATCATCAGTGAATTGAGCATCTTTTATGTGTATGAACCAAAGTTCAGTATGTTGATTCCTAATTTCTTGGCACTTGAAAGGAATCTGAAGGTAAATAAAGCATGAAAATGTACCACAATCATCATTTAAGATCACAATGGATAGTAAAGGAGTAAAGGTAGGTATTAACAGATCTTCCACTTACAGTAATGGTGAACTAAATGACTGCACCAACCCTCCCTCAAAAAAAAAAAAAAGCCAACACAAAAAGCTGAAACAAACGAAAAAAAAAATTTAATTGCATAAAATCCTAACAAGAAAGGGAAAATGAGGAAAATAAGATAAAACAAATATTCTGTCTAAAGGCATTTGCTGACGGTGGAAAGATGGCTGAGAGGTAGAGTGGCATTTCTTGTAGGGAGGAGAAGGTGGGCTCACTACAAA